TAATCTTTCCCATGGAACCAAATCTAATACGAAGTTATAGAATTTTCTCTCAGAACCCCCATATTTCTGCTGTAAATACATTAATCTCACTGGGTTTATTCCATTGTACGTTGTCAGTTTGAGTGTATCTGGCCATGATGTGAATGCAAAACAGAGTTGACCTTTGAGCTTACTGCTTGTTCCATGCATACTAAGCAATCTGAGAGCACTTTCTCATCTGCTTTCCTCTGATTGTCTGTCAGAGGACAGAAAGTACTGAAAGTGTATAGATATACAGCAGAAATAAGCTCAGAAATGCCCCTCCCTTCACCTTTCCCAAGTGCAAAACTAAGGGATTGCTCAAACGTAGCTAGTTGCTCAACTTTGAGCTGGGAAAAACTGGTGTCAGATACAGAAGAAAAAGATTTTAGAGGGGTGAACGAATCTGTATCAGTAACTTAAGGTTAGTACTCAGAACCTGGAAAGTTGGCTGTTGAAATAGGTCAGAAAAGCAGTGCTCTAAATATATTTTTAAAGTACTTAATGCACAGCATTCATGTTTAAATATGGTGGGTTAATAGCTTAAAATGAGTTTAACTTCACAGCCGTGGTGGTAAGTGCAATTTCATGGGGAGCTAATAGGTGGATGCAGCGTGAAGGGTGTGAAGAGATGAGTCTGGGAAGGAGGAATGTGTGGTAAAAATACTGAGCTTACTGTCCAGGAGTAACAAAAAGCCAAATTTTACTTTGTCTCATCTTCAGGATTTGTTACGAGAGCATGAATGTTCACAAATACATTCCTAAATACTAAAATCCTGGAACTGTGTATATTCAACTGAAGGTGGGCCTTGTAAGTCACCTAGTCCATCATAGGGTCACAGGCTAATTCAGGTTGGAAAAGTCTCTTTTCTATCACCTGCTCAAAGCCTGCCCCAGGCCACGAGGGCTTTACCCAGTCTAGCCTGGAAAACACCAAGGATTGGAGTTGCACAGTGTCTCTGAGAACCCCTTTTGCTCTCTGACTCCTCTCTGTGAAGAAGTTTTTCTTTTCATCCAGGCTGACTCTCACTTGTTTCAGTCTGTGCTGCTTTTTTCTTGTCCTCCAAGAATGCACCCCCACGAAGGGCCTGGCTTTGTCTTCTCAATGATCTCACAGGTGAGAGGGTGACTGGATCTCCCAGAAGCCAGGCTAACCTTGCTCTGTGGAGTTTGTTTTTCTAGTACACACCTTGCCTTGGCTTTACTAGAGCAAGAGCTGTGTCTTTCTCTGCCTCCCAACCAAAGGTAACGTGTTGCTGTCAGGAAGTGGGTGCCAGTACTCCTCTCACACATTCCTTTTTTTGATTTCCTTCTTACTTTATTTAAAAAGAACGTAAATGCTCTGAATGTAAATACTGTCACACAAATTATCTGTGGAGGACTAACTGTGGTCAGAATCAGAGCTGCCACATCAAAGAAACAATGAAAGACTGAAGTTCTGTGTCTGATCTGGCAGTTTTGCACTGGTGATCTCCGACTTCCACTGCATTCCTGTTTCTAGTTTGAGAACTGAAAATGGTCTGTTATATCCATCTCCCAGTGCTGGACAGTCTGTAGGGAATAAAGAGGGATGAACTTCGTTTTACTGATGCATCGCAAATGGTCTGGGTTTTCAGTTTAATGGAGAGCTTTGTGAGTATCCTTTGTTAGAGGCATTTTAGTTGTGTTAAGTATTTTTAGGTAGGTATTAGGAAATGAATTAGCGTTTAAAAAAACCCCCAAACCTATAGTTTAGTAGATGATATAGACAGACAGTAGAACCAGCTTGAACATTTCCAGTGATGATAAATGATGCCTTGGTGTCCCCTTTGTGCTTTTACACTACATTTGACAGTCTGCTAGATCTGCTTTTTAAGCAATGAGCTACGGTCTTGATATTTCTGTGGTTGTGTTCCATTCAGAGCAGACCTTTGTATTAATTGAAAGCATGGGGAAAATTCTTTTGTGTTCCATTTTTTTTCCTTGCGGGAACAGTTTAAAAAAAGAAAACCTCTTGTAAAAATTCCACTTCATACCGAAGAGTTTTGTAGGTGCTTATCATCGAAGGGCAGGACCCTGAGAAAAAGGATCTCAGAGGGTTATGAACCCTTGAGGAAGTGGTAACAGTGTACAAAGGACTCCATTTGTGTGTATCCTGTTTTTTGTAGCCGTAGGAAAAAACCGTGTTGCATGGCATTTAAAGTAAATCGTGTTCTTAATGGGTTTATTCAAAATAGCTGCATGTTTTTTAACGATCAGCTGGCTATAGGAACACAGCTGAGCATATCAAACAGCAGCCTCTGTGAACGTTTGTTAATGAAATCTTGGAGCAGTTTGAAACTGGATGTACCAAAGGCATGTGTACTCCAGAGAGCAGCTGTCTCTGGTCAGCTAATCTGATGAGGGGGGAAAAATTGTGGTACAGAGAACGTTATAATGCAAAATGAAAATCTTGGCTCAGCATCAAGAGAGCTTTGTTGTAACCCAATATTTTGTACTGCAGAGGAATGGCATTTAAAATTTTTTTAATAACAGAGGAGGAGGGAGAGAAGAAAAAGATTTGAAATGAAAGATTGGAAATAGCAGAGGAAATTATTTAAAGCGCTGTGACATCCATGCAAGGATATAAAGACACGCTGGGTGTACAGTGGGGAGGGTGTGTTGTGGAAAAGGTGGGGGGAGGAACTTCCACCAGGCTTTCCTTTAATGCCTGTGCAGAACAACAGTGAAGGAATTCTTTACAGAATGCCTGTTTCCTGAGGGCTTCAGCCAGCTCAGCCAGAGCTCCCATGTTTTTTTGGAGAGTGGATTGGTTCTTGTGAGCAGAGAGGGCAAATCTCTCTCAGTTTGGCTGTCATGTGTTGGGTGGGGCAGAGGTGGCTTCGGGCTGCCTTGTGCACCCCTGCTCTGAGACAGTGGGCAGTGTTTCAATCCTGGGTTCCGTGTCACTAGACAAGAAAAGGAATGTGCATCATCTGTGTTGGTTTTTTACCCATAAGCTCTGTGAGTTGCCTGTCGTTCTTTAAAAATTAGAAGCTGTTCATAAAGCAAAATCTTTAGCAAAAAGTGTATATATTGTATGAATGCAGTCCCTGAGTAACGTGATAGTTTTCATCTAGAGTGGAGTAGATCTTGTTGTGTTCATTGCTGCTAGATTAGTTTGCTTGGTTGGAGAACCCTTTTGTAAGTGACTCATCTGCAAAATATTTTTAAAGCACAACGTTATTTCAAAGAATTTATTGATTATGTAGTGAGAGATGTGCCCTCCTCGTCTACTGTGATACAGATCTTAATTTTGTCAGCACTTTCATCACTTTAAAACACTTCAAACAATCTGAAACGTTCACTTTCTGTGCCTCACCTTACACATTAATTGAATACATTGAAATTTGTTGAGAAGGGTGATTTAAAATAGATTTTGCATTCTGCCTAGGCACTCTTTGGATCTTATGGACATTCAGTGCACAGTGTACTTACTACCTGTAAATTTATTTAATTTCATTCCCCTATATTACAATGTTGCTAATATCATATTTCTCACTTTTTTTTACAAAAAACCCCACTATCAGGTAATGATACAGAGCTCTCTCACATACTGTTTTTATCACTGTTTCTCACTGAGTCTGTCTCTGGACAGATCAGCCTGGTACAACTAGACATAAATCTGTTTACTTCAGTGAGGCAGACCCTTTTTTCACTGGCTGAAAATCTGTTCTACTCTATGCACAGTATTGCTCCTTGCATCTATATACATCCAAGAAGGTACAGTGTCAGATACTGTAGGCTGCAAGCTTAAAAAATACTATTTAAGTACCTGGGAACTGTGAATTGTATGCTAAAATCCCATAGATTATGTGATGAGGTTTAATCTCAGTCAGAGAGCGGAATCTTAGCTTTGTGTTGTCCTCGTGGAAGCACAGATAGTTCACTGAGAGGTGGCCAGTGTGAGATGCTGCAGACAGTGTGTGCCTCTGGATTAAACATGTTTGTAATGACAAGTGGAACAAGTGTAAAGATCACTGTGATAATTCCAACTTGTATTGCCAGACCATTCAAAAATTGAGATCTGGGCAACTTCAGTGCTGCCTTGTGGTGCAGTCTGAAGACCCAAGAGCAGAATTTTGCCTTTAAGCTTTAAAAAAACTAGGTAGGTGAATGGAGTCTTCCAGTGTAATTTATCCTGTAATTGTCTAGTTATTACATAATATCATAATAACAAACTAATACTGAAAGATATGTTCCTATAAATTACTAATTTTTTTTCTGAAGACTGTGAAAGCATCACATTCTTTGGAGAGCTTGTCTTCTTTCCATAGTAATCTGATGCTTTTAACTTTTCTTAACCCTTTTCTGGAAAATAATTTGTGTCTGTACACTCGTGGCTTACAGAGCAAAGCTCTTCTGGAAGAATGGCTCAGACACCAGCCCTGTGTTCTGTAAGAATCCATCTGGTTCAGGGGTGGATCAATTCTTTCTGCTTGTTCTGCCAGACAGGCTTCATTTCTTCTGTGCAGCAACTTTAAAATCCCATCATATTTATGGTCCTCATTTGTCATCATTTCTCCCCAGCAAACCTCCTGTCAGTGACTTCACTGCTTCTCCCAGTTCCAGAGGTGGAGATGGCTGGAGTGGGTGTCACCCAAATGAGAAATGGAGCTAAATCAGAGGGTTCAGAGTAGGATGAGATAATGTGGTAACTGGCACTATTTTAAGAATTCTCTGTTTTGTTCATCTCACTCCAAATGTATCAGGCACTAAAGAAAGTACAGTGGTAATTGTGGCCCAGTTTCTCGTGTACACAGTCAGGTTGTAAATCAAAAGATCTGCATTATGGAGATATAAATAAAAGAACCCACAGGCAAACTTATCTCTTACCTTAAATCTATTGTCATGGAGAGAATAAAGTTGTTCTAAGAAGAAAGGAAAGAATCTAGTTAAATATGGTGTCTCTGAAGTGTTTCTGTTATGCCTTCTTACTACACTTCTGCTTTCTCTACCCCTAGCTTTCTTTGGAAAGTACCTAAATGAATACAATGGCTCCTATGTGCCTCCTGGTTGGAAAGAATGGGTTGGATTACTTAAAAACTCTCGATTTTACAACTACACACTCTGTAGAAATGGAGTGAAGGAGAAGCATGGATATGACTACTCCAGGGTAGGTCCTATTGATTTCTTTCTATTCACATTTGGACATGACCACAAGAAAGCTGCACTTTATGGTTTCTGTCTAACCAGAGAATTCTTTTTGTGCTTGAAAGCTGGTACCTGTAACATTATCTACAACCCCCAACAGCAGTAGTGTTTGGATGTTATGTTATCTTCCATTCTGGGAGGGTCATGGTACTGAAAACATCATTAGCAGCAATGGGAACAAACAAAATATCCTGAGACCATGTTAGGTATTATGAGCTGAAGATGTGAAAATGGATTTAAATGCTGCATAATAGCTATTTCTGTGCTTTGTACTTCAATTGTTGTGTGACTCGGATTTTCATCTGTTCTGTCTTCAGTGGAGTTACACAAGCATTAGTAAGATAAGAATCCAGTTCCCTCCAGCTAGACCCATCTTTTTAGTTTAAGGAACTTGTTTCACAGCCACAATGAGATGGAGAATTCCTGGGATCTTGCTACAACTTAGGGTAATTCCGAATGAGTGGAGAATTGAACTGTTGTGTTTATATTTCCATACATACGGGTGCATATGTTTCCTAATATCCTCTCAAGGATGGTATACCCTGACCAAACTTAGAGAGAGGCTTGATGGTCATTGTCAAGTGCAGGATCATTTTTTATCTCATCTACCACGTTGCAGCTCAGTACCTGTTTGCAGTCAGGAGTACATTTATTTCAGCCAAAAGTGTTCCTCCTCCAAGGAACCAGCTTTAGTGGAGCCCTAAAATGGGCTGAAGTGACTCTGAAGTATGAAGGTAAATAAATCTATCCATAAACTGCCCTAGTTTTAGGGTATAACACAGGAAGTACACTCAGTCTGAAGAGATTTGTAATGTGTATTTGTTTAGCAGGGATTTGGTTTGCTTTCTCTTCTGGGGCACAAATCCTGGCTCCGTGTTTGTGTTTCATTAGCATTGTGTTCCCAGTCAGTATTTCCTTTAAATGGTTGATATCTGTGGTTTCCTGTCTGTGATTTCCCCTTTCCCCTGCCCTATTTGCCTTTTTTAATTGAATGTACTTTGTGTTGAAAGATGAAATTTCACAGCCTTCTAGGGTTTCCTTTTCCAGCACCAGCTGCTGAGGGGAAGGGGCAACTGCTGTACAGAATTATTTATCTTTTATTTTCCTTCTGGTCTATGAAGAATGAGAGAGAGAGAGCTAATCTTTACAGCTGTGTACCAAAAAAGTTATAGTGGGAATTTGTCTTATGTGCAATGGTGTGAGGCAAATGATTCCATAGGCACTGTTCTCCATCTCCACCCATTGTACCAAGGAGTCACCAGGAAGCTTTATGTTCCAGTATCCTCAGCTCTGTTTTGTGTATGCAACACTTGAAAATGTTTAGGTCTTCACTTGTTGTAGTTTTTCTTACCAAGTTTAGTAAAAAAAAAAAAAAGGCTGATGAAAATAGAGATGTTTTATAATCTTCATATTCGTGTATAACAGCTACAGTAATAAACAGATGATAGTGTGCAGAGCAACAGCACTGGTTGATGTTAACACTGGAGTTCAAATGAACAAACAGAAGTTGAAACACAAGACTGTTTGTCTTTCTTTCCTGTCATATTTTTACTGCAAACTTAATTTTCCAGCAGTGAACAATATAATCAGATTATAATTTAGTTCTATCTGCTTAATATAGTTAATTATGTGCCAGTGGAAAACTAGAAAAAAAACATTACTGATTATTCGACTCTCCAAAGTGACTGCTAAGCACGTATGCTCTGAAAATAAAATTCTTTTAGATTTTCTTACAGGATATATTCTACTTTGATTTTTCTTTTTCGGTTTCTGTCAGCTATTTTTACATGAATTTTAATTTTGTATGTCTACATCCTCTAAAGGAGCTTTTTAAAGAAGCTTTAAAAAAAACCCAAACTGTAAGAAATCAGCAAATTGAAATGTTTCTGTTCGGTCTTTCAACCTGTTGAACAGTGGGTTTGCAGTGATTTTCACTTTGACCACATGGAAACCTTCATTCTTCAAAATGAAGTTGGAAAACTGTGCTCTCCTAATGGCTAAATCAAAGATGAGTTACACACTTAGAGTGACCAGGATAAAGAAGAGGCACATTTAGGATAAACAGCACTTGTTGAGAGCACTTCATTGTTCCCTCTCAGCTCTGAGTATTGTCTCAGGTATTGAAAGCATGCTCAGAAGTCAGGTTTGCTTTGGTCTGGCTTATTGTACATTCTCCCTTCCCCTGCATATTCTTATGGCTGGAAGTCCTCCAGCTGATGCCTGTTTATACCTCCTTTCATGAGGGAAAAGATCATCTCAGCATCAGTCCTGATCATGGCAGTTCCACGACAGACATGGCTTGTGTTGGGACCAACGTGCAAAATTAGAAATGGAGACTTTGCTGGCCTTGTTCTGGGATAGACAGGAAATAACCTGGGGAAAGTAAATAGAGTCCATGGAAAAGGCTGCTTTGGATGAATGATAAGCTGAGTTCTCAGCTCAAGGACGTTGGCAGTGGTGGAGAGGACCAAGTGTCTGAGCCACGGACAGAAAGCTGTGCTGAAAAGGAGATGCAATCCAGTGTGTACCACACCTTGGACTGCTGGCTTGGCCAGAGGCAGATGTTATGTCTGATTTTACATTCTGCTGTGACATGGCAGTTATTTTGGTTTTTTAAAGGTGAAGTTTCATATCCTACTCGTGTTTGAGGGGTATTTATATTTGTAGCATTTGTATTTCTCCTGTGAAGCAGGAGAACGTGGCTTGTCATTAAAAATGCTGTCTTCAATCCCTGTAGCTTCTGCAGATATCAGAAAAATAGTAATGCTACTTCTCAGAAAATAGATAGTCCAGCTCTTCTAAAGGAAGCTTTCTAAATTCTCAACACTGTATAGTTATATCTCTATCAGATTGTCGCTGTAATATCGAATGAAATTTTTGGTCCAATTAACCCACCATCTTTTACTGACTTCTGGTTCAGAGGGAGGTTTAAAAAAAGAACATCAAGCCATTTGTATTTTCAAAGCACTTTTATGATGCATGGTTGGACTACACACCTTGAAGATACTGACTCTGATTTTCTTTTTATTTTTTTTATTAATACCTGGTCATTGTATTTAGTATTGTGATCTTCATAATGTAATTACCCACTTTGGGAAGAAAGAGTACCATTTGATCTTCTTTAATGCCATTCATTTCTGAGGAAAAGCTAGAAGCTGTCGCTTTTTATATTTCTAGGCAGTGAAGAAAGAAGGATTTGGTTTTATTTATTTTTTTTTACTCCTTCCTCTTGTCTTTCTGAGTGAAGTAGCTCCTTTTTTCCCCCTGTTTCTCATGATACCTCAGACCTCCCCTTCCCATCTCACACCCCCCCCCAATTTGAAATTCCTTTTCAAGTGTCTCATTACACTTTTACTTCTACTTGCAGGATTATCTAACTGATCTGATTACCAATGACAGTATTACCTTCTTCAGACTCTCCAAGAAGATGTATCCTCACAGACCCGTGCTGATGGTTATAAGCCACGCTGCTCCTCATGGCCCTGAAGATTCAGCCCCTCAGTACTCACACCTCTTTCCTAATGCCTCACAGCACATGTAAGGAAAAAAAAAACCAAAACCCTTTGATTTTCAGCTTCTGGAGTATGGAAATCCTGGGTAACAATGTTTTTCTTTGTAATACTCTTGGCATAACCTTGTCACAAATATATAAGAAGAGTTTCCAGACTTGTTTGTTTGTTTGTTTGTGTCTCTTCAGACCTGTACAAGTATTTTGAGAATGGCTACAGAATTAATTGGACGTTGTTACAGCCTCTTCGGGAATTAAGGCACTGTTTTTATTTTGAGCAGGGAGATCAAAATCTGGTTCTTGGGCTGTAAACTCTTCAGGGGAAGAAACTCCTATGTCCCTATTCTTATGTATAAACCATATTATTTTACGGGTATTAGCAGAAATCAGGTATTATGCAATACTTACTACTCCTGTTTCATATATGGAAAGAAAGCAACTGCAGCACCAGATCAGACAGGCTATTTGTGAACGAGCTGGTCTGTCTGTCCATGACCCTGGGCAGGGTCTTGAATGCATCCCAAAGGCACTGTCACCTGGTTCCTGAGTTAACACGTTCACAAGCTCCACGTTGAGATGGCTCTGGTTTCTAGCACAGGGACAGCTCTGGAATGCTGCATTGCAGGTGTCTCCTTGCATGCAGATAAAATGAGTGGTTCTCCCAAATCTGCTCTTGACACGACTGAAAACATTCCAGTAGTTTTCTGATTCCTGGCTTCATGCCTTCATTGATGTTCAGCATTTGTAACTTTGTCCCCAAGTGCTGCTGTCCCCTTTTTAAGGGGAATTCTGTCTTATTTTGGATTTGTGAAGGAGCTGGGAACTGATGGAAATAATAATCAGTTGGTGGCCAAAGCTGCTCAAGCCTAGTCCAGAGTCCAGTGAAATCCATTTGAGCTTTTTTGCTTAATTTAAAATAAAATCTGAGGAAAAAAGCTTCCTTTGTTCTATTGTCTGGTTATTGCATAACTTAGAATTACATATTTCATTATTTTCTACTGTGCCCAAAGAGAATCTGTGGCATAGATCTGCAGCAGTGAAGTATTTCATGTTTGTTTGCCATATTGTGCTCATTTATGTTCTTTGAAATGCAAATTACAGAAATGACCAGTGAGCAACTTCTCATGACTTGTATTACTAGGTTCCTTTAGAAGGCATTTGGATCTGGGAGATGATAATCATCTGTCATGCAACAGTCTGTACTGATTTACTTGCTAGTTGAATGAAAAAGAGTGGAAGGATTTGAGGAGGGCCAGCAGTGAGAAATACAGACTACATCTGTTTTTCTTTTGCTCCTGGTTTAAGTCTTACTGTTCACACAAAACTAGGCTTATCCTCCTGATTATAAAGTAATTACACAATTTTATTTCCTTTTTAATTTTAGGTGACTTTTCTTACAATGATAACAATTACATAGAAAGTGTTGCTTCATGGAAAAAGGTTTTGTTTGTAAAAAACAAATTACCTTGGTAGATTAAGGAACTATGTTTTTCTTTTGGATATGAATTTTATGTACATCTCACACAAACAAACTGCCAGTCATCTTCTAAACAATTTTTCCAGCACTGCATAATGCTAATAATTTGTAAGGGCTTTTATTGACCTGGGCTTAAGAGTAAATGTAAAAAATGCAGAACATGTACATAGAGTGAGGGAAACGATGCAAATTGTCCTCTTTGTTTTTTCCCCTTGTTCCCAAATTCCAGGGAATCCCTCAGTGACAGGTAATCTGTCAATTAAAGGAGGGTTGTAGGCTGTTCTTGCTGCATATGGATATGGTAGGGCAGGATCAAAACACGGGGGGAAGGAACACTTTGGAATTGCCCTAAAGCAGTAAAAATCCCAGTGTTTGCCCAGTGCCGGGCTCACTGGGCAGGACACCCTGGGCATGGCTCTGTGCCTCTCCTGGTGGCAGCACTGCCCAAGCCTACAGGTGGATTCTGGAGCTGCATCCAGAGCCAGGTGGAGGTGGGACTGCAGTGCCTGGCATCCACACTGCACCCTGTGGCACTGCTGGCAGTGCTTCAAAGCTGGGGCTGTGGGGTTTGGCATGGGCAGTCAGGGTGCTGCTTTGCTTGGGAGCTCTGGGATCTACTTCTGTGCCTAATTTACGTGCTGTTCTCTTGCTTCTTTTGTTCCATATTGTGGCTGGTATGACCATCCTGCCCTGCACTGCAGTCCCTCTCCTCCTCGTTCTGGAGAGCTCCTTTCTGGGTGTGTCTGCGGGCTCGTTGTGTTTGAAAATTATTCCCAGAGCAAACCCCTGGGCTGCAGGGCTGGTTTTCCTTTATTCCTGCTTATGCTGTGAACTGCAGAGAACACGACAGCTGGGCAGCTTAACAGTGATCAGAAATGTTACTGCAGCATTTCCCCACCCATCTTTTTCGAGGTCGAATGCCATCTGACTGGGACTTATCTTGTGGGTGCATTTGAAGGAGTCATCTTAACCAACTTCTAGGAACGTTACATCTGTGCATTTTCCCCATAAGACAGACAAATCTGTTAAGTATAAGAGGGTTACATTTGTAGTAATCAAAGAAAATCACAGGCTTTGGTTGGATTATGTAGTGGGAGGTTTCAAATCAGCCAGGAAATCACGAAGTAAGCTGAAAAGGAATTTGCAAAGCATTTTTGATTCATTCTGGCCATCACATAGCAACAGTTTCCATAACTGTCAGCATTTTCAAAGAAGCAATGTCATTATTTCGGCCACAATAACATTCTGAAATTCAAGAGACTATTAACATTGCAGAGACAATAAACACCAGCCCTTTCCTCCCTGTATGAAGAAGCCTCCACTTGCCATGTATGCACATTTTTCAGATAGCATCTAACAGAGGCTTTCAGCATAAAGCATTTCACTGTCAGATTATTAGCTTCATATTTATATTAAATCTCTCAAGACTACCTGTCACATTCAAAGATATATTAGAAACACAGCATTTTGATAAGTTTCAACTTATTGTTTATCTTCATAACTTACCCTGCTGCTCTGTTGCATACACAAAATCAAGGGTAGAATTCTGCCAAACAGGAGCTGAATGTATCAGGAAATTCTGTTGTTGCTAAGAGGAAAGTGATGGAGTATCTGCTGTTCTTTCCTGTGTTACTGTGTCACCCTCTGGGCTTGTGCATTTGCATAGAATGAGTTTATTGCTCTGAATGAAAGAAGGAAGCCTAACCAAATTACTTAGGAAAAGTAATCTTTAATATTTTAGGCTCTGCAGGCAATGTGTTTGAGCCAGGGTGTGAAGAAATTGTAAAAGGTGTTTTTCAACCTTAAGTAATAGCAAACTTTAAAGGGATAGACATAGTAGGTAAAAATAATATTTCTTGCAAATGTAAGCTATAATATAACTTCTTAGGGAGCTGGTGATGCAGAGAGTTGACATCATGGTAATAAACCCTTATTTAGGTTCAGCTGACCTAGAGCAATATAATTGTGCAGAGAAAAGCGATAGCTGGGACTCCCAACAGTGTGAAACTATGGACCATCAGTTATATTTTTCCTTATCACTTCAGTGGTGTCCCAGGACCATGAGAACTTGGAGGGGCAGTGATATTTCAGGAGGACATTGAACCCAGTTCTTGGGATTTTGCAGAGACTTTAATTGAAGTTTCTGATGATCACAAAGGATTTGGTGGCTGTAATGTGTCTTCAAAGTACAACCCTGTTTCCCTTCGCCCCTGCTTTTCTTGGCAGGTCTTTAACATCCATGTGCATCCACTTCTGCTGCTCACATGCAGTTGGATACCAGTAGGCAGAGTGCCTGTGCCTCTCTGGTGCATGAGATACTCAAGTAACCAGTCATGCTGAATTCCAAAAAACTGTTAAAAAACACAGTAGAACCTTTTCAGCAAGTTCTGTAGTTATCTTTAAACAGCTTGCACAAACCATAGTATTTGGTGCTGATGTGGACAGAGTGAAAGCAAAGCAATTAACACCTGAGGAGGAGCTCTGTAATACATGCTTCATCCTGATCATACCTGTGGCCTTCAAACTTCTGAGGCTGGTCTCCTGGCTTTGAGATGTATCCATGTTAGTCTGAAGTCACTGCAAAAACAAGGTGTATTTACTCTTTTCGTGGATTTTGTTCCCCTCAGAGTTGTTTTCATTCTCCCATGTTTCATAACATGAAAGTATAAGACATTTCCAAAGTAAATCTAATATTTCCTTGTGCACCTCGGAGATTAAGGCCTATGGTGTTGATCAAATAGAAATTACTAATATTCATTACTGTGGCTTTTTTTTTTTTTTCTACTTGGCTAAAGCATTCTGGTTTTCTCTCTGTTCCTTAGCACTCCCAGTTATAACTATGCTCCAAACCCAGACAAGCACTGGATCATGAGGTACACTGGTCCCATGAAGCCCATACACATGGAGTTCACTAACATGCTGCAGAGGAAGCGCCTGCAAACACTCATGTCTGTGGATGACTCGATGGAGATGGTAAGATCACCAGTGCCCTTTTTTGGTTTTTTTGCTAAACAGGTGCTTCTTTCTTGAGTTAAGCTCTACCTTGTCCTGTAGATGAAGGTAAGGGAGAAAGGAGGAGGAGGAGGACTGCATCAGTTTTCTAATAGTGTGTGATCCTCTCACCTCAGATCATTTTGGCTCTTTATTCTGTGTATAAGGATCCTCATCTCCTGAAGACAGGTACCATGAGGTGCTTGGTGTGAGCTGATTTGTTGCCACAGAGCCACTGCTGAGTGAGGGGAAGAGAAAAGGATCCCCTTAAAAAAAATATATGTCCTAAAAATGTGCCCTCTGATAGAGAAGAATCATCCTACAGTCTGTTGGAAGTAAATACCTAAATGTGTGCTTGTTCTGATCCCCTAACACTGAGTTTCTGAGAGAAGAAAACAACAGCAGCAAAAAGTGATGTTACAGAAGTCCTAACTCTGTAATGATGGAATGATCTCATGGTAAACCCAGCCCAGGATGTTAAATGGTGGAAATAAATAAATAAATACATAAGTTGGTACATTAAAAAAAATTTAATTAAGTCTGCATTAGGTAACAATGAGATCTCTTAATGCAGACTGAGTGTCTTCAACAGAAATGTCTGAATTCACTAAAACCTAAGAGTGGTTTTCCAGATTTAAAAGGCAGATTTAAAGGAGTTGCAATTTACTGCTTATCTCTTGGCATTCTTATTCAAAAATGGTAGAACATAAAATAAGTGGAGTGCTGTAAAGCAAAGATGAGATTATATGGGTGGCATTGCATAAATTTGTTACTGATGTCTTATAATTACTGATTCAGGCAAGTATGATCTCTGTCTCATGTTAATGAACCTGTTCAGATTACCAGCATTAGGGGAGATTGGTGATTTTACTACAGTGTTTGGATTTTATATTCAGTAAAATGGTTTCACTCTGGGTGATTAACTGCAGGCAAAATCAGTTAGGTTGTTTTCTAGTTCTAGTTACCAAGTTAGCCTGACCTTTTCCACTGAATTATATGTGTCCGATAGTCTTTCAAAACTAAAAAGAAAAAACAACCAAGTGCCTCACACAAAACAACAAAACCACCCCAAGCACACACAAACAAACAAAAAAACGCAAACGAAACAACCCGTAAAAGAAGCAAAAATAAACCCCCAAACCAAGAACGTCAGAGTTTGTTTTCTTCTGTGCTGATGGGTTCTGGGTGTGTGTGAGGCACTGCCTTGGTGGTACCTCACCACCTTCGTACCTTTGCAAGGCAAAGCATCACATAAAAATTGATCTTTGGTGCTCAAGTGGATACATGTCACATAAAGATGCTCCTGTAAATCTATAGAAGCAACCACAGAGTTAAATCTCATCTTAATTCTCCATATTGAGAGAGTATGACTGGATGTTATTTATCTGGAAGGTATTGTGCAAATATTCTGCATAATGAGAACTCATTTATCCAAAGGCAAGATCACTGAGCGTTACTTAAACACGTGTGAGATTTCAAATGCTGTCATTTTATTGAAATTGTTTTCTGCAGGAAAAAGATAAAGGTCGAGAGAAAATTTCAGAAATGGCACCTTGAAACTCTTATCTCTGTTACTGTGTGTATTTAGCACTATCTTGCCAGCTCTTATGCAAAATGCTGAACCCAAACACTTGAGGGTGGCACGCTAATGTGTTCTGCCTTACAAGAGAAAACACAAGTGTGCCTTGTAGTAGCCACGATATTCAGCCAGTAAAATTAAGATGTGATTATGGATTATTCAGAGAAGTGGTTCATTGTGATAACTCAGTGCCAACCTGGGCTGTTGTAATTTATTTGTTGCTCACAGGCAGAAAATGATAGCCAGTATTCCCCATCAAAACGAATTTTATGTTTTTTTTTCCCTTTTTTTTTTTTTTTTTCCCCAGATTTACAACACGTTGGTTGAAACAGGAGAACTGGACAACACGTATCTGATATACACAGCAGACCATGGTTACCATATTGGGCAGTTTGGGCTGGTGAAAGGGAAGTCCATGCCCTATGAGTTCGACATCAGAGTTCCCTTCTACGTCCGAGGTCCCAACGTCGAGGCCGGGTCCTTGTAAGTTCTTGGCTGCCGTGTGTGTGCGTGTGCAGTGACCTGAAGAGTTCTTTATGTTCACACCTCTAGCTGTGCTGACCCGGCAGCCAAGTGGAGGCACAAAGTTCTGCCCATCCTGACTGAATTCCGGCTCATCTTTGGCAGAAAGATCTGTCTGCTCACAAAGCAGAGCTGGCAGCACGTGCTGGTGCAGCAAAGTCAAGGCCATTGCTTTTTTTGCTTGCATGGGTGTGCAGCACAAGCCCCTCCTCTTTTGAAATATGTCCATTCTTTTATGGAAGGATTATACAAATTATACAAAATTATACACGTAACTATGTAGTTTTCAAGTTAAAGAAATATGTTGTGTCACGTTCACTGCCACAGTAGGTAATTATTGCTGAACATCAGAGTCACTTGTTTCAGCTTATAAGGAATAGTTCATATGTTAGCATGCACAGAAGGTTCTTTTTGGTTCATTCTTTGAGACTACATGGTTAAGGCTGTTGGATGCAGTGTGCAGAGTGTGCCTGTTAATTAAAATGGTAGCTTTGATCAGCTAAGAAATTATGTAAATACACTTTCTAAGCAATTATTTCAAATAGCAAATATTTACACTTAAGTAATGATTTTGGACAGTGCCATAATTTACTGCCTTGCCTTTATATCAGTGTACATGTTTTAGCATAATTAACACACAGTCTTCCACACAAAATTCTTCTTTTTGCTGCAGATGGATCTAGTGTGTAAAACAATAACAAATAATTATTAAAAAAAAAAATCTCATTCCGTATACTGGTTAAATTCATTGGTTCACATTATCTGTAGGCACAAAAATGTTAAATTCTGTAGATATTGCAGTGTCCCTGGTTTGTTTTCAGCAGTTATCCATATGAAAAAAAAAGCAACATTACTTCCCTAAAAAGCAGGGAGGGATTCCTCAGCTGGAATTAAACACGTGACCTCAGCACTGAAGGAGTTTTGTCTGCAGCAGCCCCAGAATTTCAAGTGAGCTGAAACAGCCTTCTAAGAACAGGCTCTCTTTCCCTTTGACTGCAGTTCTTGACCTTCCTGGAGAGGGAATGCTGTTATGGCCCGAGTGGACTGAGCTGGTGTTTCTGCAACATGTAGAGCCAGAGACCAGCCACATTATGTCTGCTCTACTTCAAGGATCTTTACACCCAGACACCCATAACAGCTGTGAAATCTTCCCATTGAATTTCATTTTTCAGAGACTTCTGAAGATGAAAGAATAGGAAGCTTGGAGGGGAGAGTATTTCAGAAAATAAATTGATCTTCCCTCTCAGCCTGATTTTTTTCTCTAAATGGTGGAACATCAATCATCCGTGTTTTGTGTGAACCTTATGTTTTTCCTGCAGAGTAATTGTCATGACTCCCTTTTGATACCAACAAAATTTTAATGGCAGTCACTGTAGCAAGTCATTACTAATCTCTCATTTCTAATACCAAATATACTACATCATAATTATTAGTAATTAAAATCAAATTAGGTACATCAATTTAATTCATCATCCATGCTCTTGTCAGTGCCTGTTTGCTCACTCACTCAAAAATGTAGTAATTTTTAAATAGTGTCTCATTAATTAGTGTGAATTTAGCAGCTTCCTTCTGTCCTGAATTTTTTGAGCTCGTGTTCTGCACTGCCATGTATAGCAGCCCATCTGGTCCCATCCTTCCTTTGTCTGAACAGAGCTGGAGTTGCTTGGTATCATTACATGGACTTTAAACTGGATTCTCCTCTGTGTTTTTTACAGGAATCCTCACATCGTGTTGAATATTGATCTCGCACCTACGATTCTGGATATTGCTGGGTTGGATATTCCCTCTGACATGGATGGTAAATCCATTCTAAAGCTGCTGGATTCGGAGAGACCAGTAAATAGGTAAGGACTGGAAGTGTGTGTGGAAACATGTATGTGTTTGTGCAACAGGCTGAACAAGTGTTCAGCAACATGCACCAAATTTAAAGGAAAATATAATAAAATTACCACCTATAGGACTACATAATTCACTGGGAAGTCTGGAGACTAGTTGACCCACTTCAGTTATTTTCATTTTGGCATATTTTCATTTTCATGTAGTAGATGTATGGCATATATGGCATCTCTATGTACTAAATATAGTCTGTGTAGAAGAGAGGGCTACATGTGAAATCTTTACCTATGTGAGTTATAGATTTTCATTGTCAGCTACAAATTTCACTTTGAATGAATTGTAGAATAATTGAATTGAAAGGGTTGGTTGCATATCAGACTATAATATAAAGACAGGCTAGAACTCAAAACTGCAGTTATTATTTAAGACTTTCCATCAATAGTTTCATTGGAAGAAGGCTGAGGAAGAGGATTAGATTGGATGCTTGCTAGAGAAGATCAGCAGAGAAAGGGAAGGAGATTTATTTGCTTTACAAGTAGTTAAGTGGAGGGAGAAGGGGAAAGGAGCAGCTGCTTTAGAATAGGCTACTTGGTGGGTAGTGTGAAGGTTAAGAACCCAAAGTTGAGTCGTGAAATCCGGATTTAATTTGTGATCCTTTGTGATGGAGGACGATTCAGTTAATCCACTGTGCCTTAAACATGCTTATGTTGAAGAAATTGCACTCTCTGAACCTGTTGTGGATTTTTGTCCCTGTGAGAAAAGTCTGTCCTGTGTTTGCTCATGGTTTGCACTGGAGAGGTGTATGTGCCTGCTTCCCAGAGCTGCATGTCCCTTGTGCAGTGACATGATGTGTTTCTCATTGGAACTGGGGATGGGAGAGAACCCTGGGGCACAGCTTGGTTACTGGGTTTGTGGGAGTTGCTTCTTCCTCTCCTCGTTTCCTCCTAGGTTCCACTTAAAGAAAAAGATGAAGGTGTGGAGAGACTCGTTCCTTGTGGAAAGAGGGTAAGGAAAGTGTTAACCACAAAGCCCAGTTTTTTAAATAGAAGGACACTGAATAGCTAAAGCCAAAGCAGCACTCTGCCACAGTCTAAAGCCATTTAGCTGTGCCAGCAGGGACACGGCTGCAGCCTTGCCTAATGGCACTGATTGGAGGGGATGTATGGCCTTTGCCTACAGCCTGCATAAATGTGCTCTTGGGGTGGGGGAAGGGAGTTTGCTTGCATTGGGAGATGGAAAGGCATCCCATTTTGCTTTCAGCTGCTGCCCTCCCCACCCTCCTGCTTGTATCATGGGAGTATGAGCAACCCTCCTTCTCTGCGTGTTCACCTGCGCCCCTGCCTTAATACATCAGTGGGGGCACGAGGGGTTTGCAGAGTGCAGCCCTGTAGGATGAGGAGGATGTGGTCTCCTTATATTGACTGTTGTCACTGCCTGCCAGTCAGACATGGAACACAGCCTTGATTTTGTGTGGTTTTGTATGCTCCCCAAGAGCATGACATGAGTAACTTGTGTGTTTATCAGAGAGGCCGAGTGCTGGTTTCTACTGGACTATGAAGTTTTGGCTACCAGTGTTGCTATGGACTTGGAAAATAACATGCTCCTCTGAGTCTTTTCAACAAACTGCATTTATATCTTGGAATTAATGTAAAATTAATGTAAAAATAAATGTTATTCTCTTCCCCCAGTAAACTGCTGCATAAGAGGGAGAATGAGAAGGTAGATGCCCAAGAAGAAAACTTTCTACCCAAATACCAGCGTGTGAAAGACCTCTGTCAGCGAGCTGAGTATCAAACAGCTTGTGAACAGCTTGGCCAGGTAGGGCACTGTCCCCCTGACTGAAAGTAAGCAGTTGTAGTTAGGCCAAGCTTAACACCTTCACTGTGGCAATGTCCTTCACCACGTCGTCCGTGCCAGCTTATGAATCAAATGGCTCTGTGGCCTTTGCTCAAAACCATATTGCAGCATCTGTGAGATTGACTGTCAGTCAGGAAATTCTGATTCAGGTGTTCTGCATTGGTTTCAGGTGGTCAAGAGACCACCCAGGCTGTTTTAACATTCTGTTCCCCAAATAGAATGTGGTTTGGGCTTCATTCTACAATGTACCTGACAGATTGGCCTTCTCCAAATACATATAGTTTGCTTTGCTTTGAATTCTCTATTTAATTCATGTTGTTGATGTTGTTATTTGGAATTACATGTAATAATGGGAAACTGACGTTCTGTTAACTCAATATATCTCTCCTCTGAGCAAAAATAGACTGGGAAAACACACATGCAATTATGACTGGAGGCAGTCTGTGATATGGGCATAAAGCTCATTGATTTTGTGTCATTTCTCTTGTTGCATAACTGTTCTGGGCAGATAGGAAAATATGTTCACTTTAGATCCACGTTACGTAGAAGAAATTCGGGGGAAAAAGCTCTGGAGTGGTATCAATACGTGGTCTTGAAATGCAGAGGAGAGGATTTTGGAAATTACGAGAGCAGTGCAAAGGCAAAGCACAGCTGACTCCGTGGATAGAGTTCCCCACTCCTGGAGGAATTCTCATCCTCTGGAAACACAGCAGAATTGACTCTGTGCCACTGCTCTCATCCAGGTGTGGGTCCCAGTGCCCCTTCCAAGGAGTGTGACACATTCTGCTGTGGACAGAGTGGGGAAGGTCACTGGGTCCACATGTTACCTGTCAGTTCTTAGACTGGCATTGCCTCATCTCCTGGCAGCTCAGGGGGCTCCCAGGATGAGTCAGGCTGTGGAACATCTGTCCATGCAGGCACAATCTGAATGGTTCACCAACACTACAGTCAGGAATGGACTGCTGAGGCTACAGTAGTTCATTTTTTACTGTCAGAGACCAGACTTCCTTCCTCTGGCTCTACTGATCCTGTAGTTCAGTGTACCTGTGAAATGAGCCCGTTGTTACTTAGGTGTTTGGATCCAATTCACATGTATAAGAATTTTCCAGGTGCTCTTTTCTTCCTAAGGCTTCTTTGTCAGATGTAGTATACTGAGAAACTACAATGTCCTGTTCTTCCTAAAAATACTAAACTTGAATATTACATGCAATGGTTTATTGTCATCAGATGTCTCGAGCTGCAGTTTTAGCTGTGTGGGAGCAATTCGTTGTTTTATGACTTCAAAATGTTATTTGAGGAACTGGGGGAAAAGTTACTGTTTCTGCTACAACATCATTCAGTAAGTAGTACAGGGAAATACAGCTTTTCTTTTTCCATCAGTACTGTCTTTTTGAAAGCTGTTTCAACTTCCTCCTTTTGTCTTTGTCTTCCCAAATATTTTGAACGTTACTGTAAGAACAGAGGGGAAGAGAGACTTTCCAAACCCGTGTTGTCATTGAATCTGTCACTTTGCATAAGGTAACTTAGCTGTGTTCAGGCTTTCTTACTCTAATTACCACATGTCTCAGTTGTGGAAGAAAGGGGGAAGGCCCTGTAATGTCTACACACATTCACAGGCTTACCTTTTCTTTCATGGGAGATAAAGTATCTGTGACCTCTTTAAGAAGCGGGTATAAAACGTCAACTCTGCAGTCAGAGTTGCCAATAAATTCTGAAGTAAAGATGTGCTAATAAGAGATGTGTGTGCTGCATCCTCGTTGTCAGGAGACAGAGGGGAGAAGAGTTGTTTTGAGCAGTTCAGTCAGACGTAATTGGAAGTGATGGGATGAAATTGAGCAAAAAAGAAATTTACGTTGGACATCAGGAAAAATTGCCAAACAGTCAGGTCGATTAAAGTCTGTGAAGGGCTCTCAAGGGAGTCTCAATCCATCTCACCCCTACTCTAGAGAGAATGTCCTAGTAGTCTGTCTAGACAATAGGAACAGTGGGAGATGAATGTGCTTATTTGAGGATAAACTGTGCCTAAAGATGGGTGCACCCAAAAATCTTTTCAGAGTGAAGCAAGACTAACCTCTCCAATGACAAATGGGTGTTGTCTGTTTGCTGGTGCTGCTCACAGCTCTGCACAGTAAGTAGAACAAGCCCAAATTAATAACATGCCACTGCCTTGGGGGAGTTCATGGTATGCAGATACAGTGGTTATTTAGCAGATGTCTCCTCATCCTGCAGCACACTCTGTTTGGTAGTATCGGGAGTGTTCAGTGCAAAAAGGGAATTTTCACATCCTGATGCAAAGGTGAAGAGAAGTCTGGGTCAGAATTAGTTGAAAGCTTGCTGAAGTCATTGGGATTCTTTCTTTTGACTTAAACAAGATTGGGGGACCTGCTGTTTGGTGCACAGAGAAACCTGAGCAGTCCCAGGGAACGTGAAGTGTGAGCAGGAGACAAAGACTGAGGAGGAGAGTGAAGGACAAGAGAAAAGGACAGAGTTTAAAGTAAAGGAGAGGTAAAGAAAGCTTTGAATGTGAGGTGGAGAATTTGAAATTCTGCTTTGTGAGTGTGCAAGGTTGTGAATACAGTTCTGTTACCACAGAATGATCTTCCTTTGCAAATCTCTGTCACCCTCCTTGACTTATAATTGTTTTGGTAAGAGAGCACCAGCATCATGGAGAGGAGGCTATTCAGACTGTTTAAAACCTTGTTTCCCAGTCCATTATGTAGAATTTTTTTGGCAACAGTAATGTATGTAAATTCTCCTGGGTGCAATGGGAATCTGTGTGTTGCCATGTTCTCTTTTTCACTTAGTGGGGTTTGGTCTGTGTTAGTTATTTGCATCCAACAAAGGGTGACTGTAGACTCAGATGAAGGAGCAGTTCAGCATTTATATTCAAGGATTTAAAAGAGATGAACTCTTCCCACATGAAATAAAAAACATTTATCCTGGTACCTAATGGCTTCCACACAGATTTTTCTCCTCAGCCTAGTTTGGCCTTTCATTCTAAACTGATTGGTGAGTGGAAGCTGACCCACTTTTATCTGGCAGTCTGCATTAATGTGCTTTTGTGGAAGCCAATTATGATATCACCATTGCTCAGTAGAGTACTCCCAGCAACTCCACAGTATCATAACAACAGCTGCACAAAATCTCCCTCCAAGTAATTTGCCAACTTTGTGCACATTTGATAAACATGCAATACCTGCAGCAGTGCTGGTTGCTGTAGGGAATCTATGTTGTGCTTGTAAAAAAAAAAAAAAAACAAATTAAGAGAGTGTGATTTTGTCTTTAGCTGGACCTGGTGTAGTACAGTAATATTGCCAACTCATAAAGAAAAATAGTTGTGTGAATTGACATCATTTCCTTTTCAAATACTTTTTATTTTCAGAGCTTTATTTACGTGCAAATCTGATAGAAGTAGAATTTGCTTTTAAATAGCATAAAAATATCATTTTATGTGGCAGTTTTCACAGGAGAACATTCAAAACACAAGCACGGGCACTGGGTTTCCTTCAGATGTTCTGCAAGTGAAAGGTTTGGCACACAGTCTTCCCTCCAATCACTTTGTGCTTTGCCAGGATCCTCAAGGGATATTCTCTTTTGTAACTGGCCTGAAGATACCAGAAGCAGGTCACTTATGTGCTTGGTCCCCCCAGTTCTCTCACATCCCAGGGGAAAAACTCTTGTGATGGGTGTGTGCCTTCCTCAGCAGCTCACAAGTGGCCCCTCTAGATCATATTCCTGCCACCACAATCATGACTGGCCATTGTTTAGTGCCAAGGGAGGAGCAAGATAAAAAAATTGCTTGTATATTCTCTATATTCTCCTTTTCCCGAGGCCACTTGGACTTATATCAACCTGGCCTAGGAAACAGTGTCAGGTTTTATAAGGAATTTCTTTAAAAACTGGGAAGAAAACTTTTGATCTGTCTGTCTGTTGTGGTTGTCTGGTTCTTTCTTAGCTAGCAGAGATATCCTGAGGTTAGTAAAGAATTTAGGTTCTGTTGATAAGAGAAGTGTATCAAGCCAGCTAGAGCCCAGATAACTTTAATAGCTCTTTTGGCAGATCCCTGGAGTTCCTGAATTTCAGCACAAGTTGCACGAGATCAGCAACTTTCAGGATCGAGCTCTTAATCTGTGGTTGCAACAAGAAATGACTTGCTGGTAACTTCATATGCTAAAAATTTTATCAGCCCTCCAACTGATAAAATTAGGAGGCAACAAACCATGAAAATTAAAATAATGGTGATTTATTAAGGTTGTTATCTGAGGATTGTATTCCCCATCAGGAACAGTAATTAACAGAACTGTTTTCCTCCTTCAGCTAGAAATAGCATGTAATGATTTCCAGAGGCTATTTTACTTACAGGATTTTTTTGCTTGTTGCTTCACAAACCCAAGAAATTTGTGTTTCTTATTAAAGGAGATTTTTTGACTCCTTGTCATTGCAGTGGTGGTTGTTGTAAGTAGCTTGCTAAAATCAATACCAACATTTAATAAAACCCCCCAAATTTTCAAATATCCTGATAGGAGTAGCAATGTACTTTAGTTCAAAAGAAAAGGAGCTGGAGGTCAGGAGATTGGCTACAGACTCAATGTGGGACCTCAGACAAATCAATTCCCCTTTTGATGCTGCTTTTTCCTCCACCACTAATGTAATTTCTGCTAAGGCTGCACTCACTCCTCAGCTTCTGCAGTGCCTAACACAGCAGCTGGGACCATTTGATACCACAATCCAATTATTATATTAATAATAAATGAATGACATAATTGCAATCTTAAAATTAGCTGGATACCTGCTTTTTTTCATTTGCCAGCTAGTTGTAATTGTCCCACCTGCCTCACTTCAGCTACAGTTTGTGGCACTAAAAAGCCCTCAAAATATTCTGTCAATAAATTGTTCATCCATCTTATAATTCCAAGGTTTGAGGGGTGTGTGGTGTGTGACAACTGAAATTGAGCTGGGAGTTCAGAGGTCCAAATCTCCAAAAATCATGAGTCAGTGTAATGAAATAAGGTCCTGTAGGAATGAAGACCAGGCAGTGCTGTTTGTGTACTGATGACATGAAATGGAGGAAGCCACACTCATCCTTTGCCAGTGGATGAATGGGGAGGAGGTCCAGGGAGAAAGGGGGAACCCAACAAAGAAGTTTAATATAATTAGAAAATAATACCATTTGGGAAGAATTGAGGAACTGGGCATATTCAGTCAAAAAAATAGTTGAGAAGAGGGGAGTCTGTCTGCCTGAACCTAAGAGATGTAGAGAAGATGGGAGCTAATTATTTTAAAGTCAACAGGAGCAGAGTAGTGATGTGTGTGAGACAAACAATGGGAAATTCAAGTTGTCTGTTCCCTGAACCCTGTCCCACCTGAGCAGCAGGACAAGCTGCCAGCAAAAGCAGAACTACTTCTTGTAGAGTGAGTGTGTCTCTCTGGATTTTGCTGTTTTGTCCTCATTACCCCAGTGAAAAATAACACAAGGAGCAAACCACAGCAAAGGAGAAGAGCTAACTAAACTGTCACTGTGCTCTTTCAGACAAGGAAATAAATGTACCCTGACTACTCATGAATCAGTTTAGACTGCAAGTCAGAATATTTCTAGCCATTAAAGCAGTTTGTCTGTAGCTCACCATCTAATGTGGCAGCAAGGTTGGGTTCAGAAAGCTTCTGCATAAATTAAACACGACAGATATTACTGAAGTGTTTTTTTCTCAGGGTGCTGGCAAAGACAGAAGATTTTATTATCCTGTACAAATGTTGATTCCTAGAGCCCATATTGGTAAAACTGTTAGGGAGCCTTGCTGGCAGCTCACTGATCAGACTGTTTCACTTTTAACTTCTCTGTGAAAAGGAATGGAATCTCTTTCACTTAGCAAAAAGAGGAGCTGATGAGACACAGCATGAGGAATTAGGGCTCAGCTCTGGAAGCTGGGTGTTTCAATGGGATATTTTCTTAGCAAGGCTTGTGTGATCAGCCCTTTTCCCCCCCCCAGAAAGCAGTGTCAATTGAGAGAGACTCACTGAGGGAAAAGAGTGAATTGTAGGAAAAAATCCTGTAGTCATGGCTATTTATTTCTGATTTGGGCCTCAGATAATGACTTTGAATTAACATCTGTGATTGCTGTAGTGGTAAGAAAGCACTGATGCACAATAGTGCAAAAACCACTTCATGGCACTGAAGGCTGGGAAGGAAATAACAGGTTTTTAACACATGGAAAAATACAACCTGTCTTTTTCTGCTAAGGACTCATGTGCATGTTCAGGGTGAATGAGGGGAACAAGGCACCTGTTCAATCTACAACTGCTGCCATTAAGATTCACGTTTCATACATAGTGGAGTCCTAATTTACCCTTGGGTACATGTAGCAGGTAGTTTGGGCTGGAGGGGAGAACACACCTTACAAACTGTGGGTTTGGGGTTTGTTTTTTTGCCTTTGCAGTGTACATTTGAACAAGATTTCTGTTCACCACCACCAACTTCTCCATTGAACTAAAGCCCAGACTCTTCTGCTTTGCAAGCAAAGGGCTGGGCAGCATCAGTGGGGTAGGGGATGGAGCAGAAGTGTCAGAACAAGCCCAGCACAGCTGGTGGCAGAGAGCAGGAGCTCAGCAAGGAACTTGGCCTGCCTGGGGGTGGGGGGAAACCTCCAGCTGGAACAGCCTCAGTGTTTAAATGAGGTGTCCAGAACGTTTTACACGATGTGAGCTTGATGGACTTCAGGACATATTGCAAAAGCCATTTATTTGGTGGCTGTTCTGACAGGCCTTGCAGGAGCAAAGAAAGGCTCTTCCTTTGGAATTTTGATATGAGCTGAGGTGAAGATTGTAGGGCAGTCTGGGTTTTCCACTGACTCTTGACTGGTGTTAAACTCCCCTCCCTTTCAAGTGGTAGCACTTTTGGGGTGTTATGAGCTATAGAACTTGATTTAGGAACACATCATTTGCCCTAATGAAGAAAACACCTGAACAGTTTGGTGCAGTGAACTGTGGAGACTTTGTTTTCTTGACTGGTTGAGTTAATCCACTATTTATAAATAATTGTGTTTTGTTGCTGGATAATAGTTATCATGTGTACCTGTGAGCCAAAGTATCTCTGGGGCGCACTCTGAAGTTCTTCATATAGAGATTTTATTATGTAAGTGATTATTTCTTGAGAAATATTTTAGTTGTTGCCAGGGTTTGATCACAGAATCAGAATGGTTCATGTTGGAAGGGACCACACTGTTGAATCTCAGACACATTCTCACATATGCCCAGATCTATTTTGGGGGAAAAAAGTAAAAGCTTGAGACTTTCTTTTTTTTTTTTTCCCCTCCCCTGCTTGTGTTCAATGTTTTTCTTTAAAGTAATTTATGTAGCTCTGCACTGCAGTCATTCAGCAGTGGGCCTGTTCATGCATACAATGTACCCTTCCAGCAAAGCCTTTAAGATGTTTTCACTGTAGCATAAAGCTGCACTGGAAAGATTTAAACTGCACCAAAAATTAAAGGATTTTTTTTTTTCTGGTTCACCTGGAGGGGAGAAATGAGCATCACTTTCTTGACAAGAGATGAAAGAAATAGAGAAAAAATATTTTTGGGCCACACATCAGAGCACTTGCTTGCAGTAATTCTCATCGTGGCATTTGACTTGCCTTCTGTTGAATCCTCATTTTTCATGCATTAGACACCTATGGCACAGAGCTCTACTGAGCAGAAAATGCAGTTTGTGTGTATATTTTCAAAAATAAAGTTGAGATTAATTGAAGTGGGAAACAGCAACAAACATTTTTACATCTCTCTTTGTTGTGAAAGGAACCTCTGCTTATTCTGGTGAAATAACTTTTAGTTCAAACCTCAGTCTGTGCATCAGTCAATGTTAGGCATTTATAAAATTAAGAGAGCAGTGGGTAAATGTGTAGTGCTCTAGTTGGGGACAGTCATGCAGAGGTGTCTGATTCAAATGTCTTATTCTCAGTGTCTCTCCTTGATTTCCTGTGATTCCTTGTGCTGAAAGTGAAACCAGGTTTATATGCATCAGTGCAAGGCTTGGGAGCTGTTTTTCCTTCTGTCCTTTTATTTGGAAGATTCTCAATATTGCAGTGAGTCCTGGAGGCACAGACTTGGGATTTTGTAATAGGAAAAAGGAGGAACTCTTCTCAAGACTCAGCAAGAAGCTGAAATGTTTTGGAGAGACTCCATTTAAAGCAGTAGCAGCTGCTACTACAAGGTTGTGGGGGGTTTTTTTGTATCTTGAAGCCTCTGTATTTGGTAGAGTGTTGGTAAATTAAGGAGTGGGTGAAATCATTTTGGGAAGTGGGTACAACTTCTGTGCCAGGTTGAAGGCAGCTGAGCTGCCTTGCCCTCAGTGCAGCTCTGACAGCAGCACAAAGGGAACTGTGAGCAAGTTACTTCAGGTTTTGAGTAACAAAGGGTGTTGGAGATAAGAGATGAGATTTTCCTCTAGTTTGAGTGCAAGAGGGAGAGGATTCTCAGCTTCAGAGGCATCCAGTGCAGCTCAGCATTGCCAGTCTAGCCCAAGGGCGTTGAATGGGAAAAGCTATTATGAGAAACACCCAAGACAGAGATAAACTTGTCCAACTACAGACTTCCACAGATGCTCTGAGCCTTTTAAAGGTCAGTTAAGAGAAACAGGCACTTCTGCAAGGCAGTCCTGGAGAACACTCCATGCCTGGAGGTGTTCAAACCCAGGCTGGATGGGGCTCTGAGCAACCTGGCCTAGTGAAAGGTGTCCCTGCCCATGGCAATGGGGTTGGAATGAGATGGTCTTTAAGGTCCCTTCCGACCCAAATCATTCCATGATTCTATCTGGAGAGCTTCCACAAAGTTGAAGGTTTTGGTCCCACTGAGTTGTGGGTTATAAATACATTGAGATTATCAGGATTCTTGGTTTATGCCACAGTTATGCTTCTCAAAGTTGTCGCTTGTCACCTCCGTGTCTTTAGCTGCAGTATTGATTTTGTTATGAAATTTCCATTGTTCTGCCTCCAAGAAACGAAACGAGAAACAAATGTGAGGGTGTTCCAAAGAGTTCCTGGGCTGCCTGAAAATGGAAGATTACAAAAACTCTGGTTTGGTAGGAGGTGACAGTTGAGCCCCAGTTTGCTGCAACGAAGAATATCTGATAGATTGCTGGAGTTGGCCATTAGACAGAGCACAGCTGGGACAGAGTTTCAACGGCCAAATTTTTCTTCCAGAAATGGCAGTGTGTGGAAGATGCCAGTGGAAAGCTCAAGCTGCACAAGTGCAAGGGAATGGCCAACTTGGCAGCTGCAGGCAACCGCAAAGGCACCTCCAACCTTCTGCCCAAGTATTACAGCAGGAACAGGGAGGAATGCAACTGTGAGGAGAATGAATACAAACTGAGCCACGCTGGACAAAGGAAGAAACTCTTCTCCAAGAAAAGTAAGTGAACCCACTGCATGTTCTGTCTCTGCCTGGGGAAGCTGTTACAGGTTTGTTCCCTGACGGGCACAGTCATCCTCACTTTCCTGGGCATTCTGTCAGTGTGTTTCCTGGGCATCCTGTCTGTGGAACAGTGGGCCTCATGTTGGACAATCAGACTTGAAAATATTTCTGTCTGTAGGAAGAATGTTTTGTTCTGGGAAATGCAGTGCACACACTGAAGGGGCAAATTGCACGTGGCTGTTTAGGCCATGGAACATGAACAGTGTTCTGCAGCAAATACTCCAGTTTTCAGTAGCTACTGCAATGTTTGGAGGTGCTGCTGCAGTAATTTATTTTTAATAAGGATGTGTGTGCTTTGTTACAGAAGCTGCTTGCTTCTAACATCCTTTCCTTGTGCTCAGTCAGCAGAGACAAGGCTGACTTTTAACCAGAGATAACGACCAAAGGGGATGACTCTGTTTCTAGTTCCCTTGGCACAGATCAGGTGCTTTCTTTAGAAAGTCCATTTTACTGACCTTACTCAGACTAACACATATATTTGAAGTATATAGCCTAATTATAGATTAGAGGCAAATGGAAGCACAGAATTATTAGTGACTTGTAACGTTTCTTTCGTCTCACTCCACAAATACAGAGCCTTAATTATTTAGCACATTAGTCTTTCTATATAATGACCTGGCACAAACTTCAAACAGAGAGTTTAAATTGATTTTCTCCCATTATATTTGCTTTGCAAGCTGATTAGTAGCTACTAGGCTAATTTTTAGTTGAAAAAAAAATTACTGGTTCCAGGGTGAAATTACTCAACTATACTTGATGTTTAAATATGTGGCACAGCAGATTATCTAGTGTTATTTAAACACTGGAACTCGCACTTAATTGGCTACTTCCTTTTTTAAAGTCCCAGAGAAGAAAGTTCAGTCCTGGGGATTCAGATAACAGGTGAAGATTGAAGGCACTTAAATGAGAAGAGGAAAACAATTTAAGTGAAGGCAACATAATGCTTATCTGATAGCACTTAACACTCACTTAAGTACTTTCCCTCAGTGCTTTTCTAAACATTACCTAATTTCCACAACATCCAAAGGAGGTGGTTAAGTGCATAATTACCTTTAGTTTATGTGTGTAGAGAGGCTGAGGTAAAAGGAGTGAAAGTTGCTCCCTCTAGCAGAGGAATCAGAATGGTGTTTTTTCCTGTGTTCTGCTCAGAGGAGGCAGAGTTTTTACACTTCAGCTCCCTCGCCTCCTTGGACCTAAAGGCATAAACTTCAGCAGCTCAAGATAGGATCTTGCCAATTACGTTGCCATTGCCTGTGTCTTAAGTAAAATAATTGTCTCTCCCTCTGCCCACATCCTGTGCTCTGCAGGGCAGAGGTGAACTTGGACCTGTTGGCAGAGACTCTTAGCTTTGCTGTTGGCTATTCTTTCCCATTCACTTATCTAATCTATCCCACCCCAGATGCAAATGAGCACAAAGCAGTGCAAGTCAAGGTTTTCCAAACATCTTATTTGGAAAGCTGGATTGTGTATAGTAAGAGGGGGACCTGGATACTCCTGATGTGTATTTGGATTTTTATGTTCCGTTTCCACGAGACTTTGGGGTAAAGTGCAGTCTGTGCTGGGTTGTTGAGTTCTTAGGGAACCTGTGGGGTTGGTTACTCAGAATTTGGTGAGTGCATGAGGTTATCCTGCAGCCCTGTTTGAATGCCAGTAAATTCATCAGATTGAACAACTGCTAAATAGAAAATAGACATTTCAGACTGGACTGGGCTCATGTCCTCATTAATGCTGTAATTCCCAGCAGTAGTGTGGTTTTGAAGGAAATGCCCCTGACCATCCACTGCCTCCTGTTGTGTGCAGCAGAGATTTGCAGAGGGCAGTTTTGGGGGATTCTAATCTACAGACACGTGCAGAAATCCAGGTTGGATGCCCTGCACGTGTGGTGCCTCAAGCATGTTGCAAACCCTAATGGGGTACAAGGATTGGCCTTTCAGAAAGATTAAACCCACTTATGTATAGTGAGAACAAGTGGTCTAAAAGGCCAGACTAAATGGCTGATAGAGGGGCTGGGGCACCAAATGTTTTGATAAAGTAATTCCTTTCTAATTGCTCGTTTTCAGGTGTACCAGTGCTTTTAGCAGGCATCAAGTGTTTTTTTAAATTGAGTCAGGTCAGTTTTAAAATGGGATCATGTCATGTATGTGCCATTTGGGCTGCCTAAAAAATGCATAATTTGCCCACAAAGCTTTTAAGTGCCAAAACCACATAAGCATTAATATTTGGTGTGTCTGAGTTCGGTGTCAGGAATGTTTGAATTTTTGCATACGTTTTCTTCAGTGTGTTTTTATTCTTATAAGAAAGATGAAGCAGAGCTTTGCAGTAGGTAGAGAGTTTAAAGTACCAGTGAGCTCTTAAAATCTTCGGCTGTTTTGTGGTCTGCTGTGTTCTTATTGCTGTGGATTTGATCTCCTCCTCCTGTGATGGGCAAGTGTGTGTGATTAAAGGAATTCTCAAGCTGCATGTAGGGAAATGATGATAGGCCACACGGGTTTGTAAACAAACAGAAGTGTGTACAAAGGGCTTAGTGCATTATTATTCCAATTTTCCTGTCATTCATTTTTCTTTTGAGGTAATCTCAATGCTGGAGCAAAATGGCATTCTTTGTTGTTAAAAAAAAAAAATCAGTTACTTTCAAGATAATGCATTTTGAAGTATGATCTTTCATAGCAGTTGTGAGAAATGGGATACAAGAAAATTTTGTGGGTTAGGTGTTTTTTCCTCTTTGAAATACCTAGGGACACAGGTTCAAAACATGATTTCTAGAATTCCTGTGGCACACAGTGCCCAAGAAAAAACACCTCTAAACTTTATTTCTAGACACTGGAGATATTTTTTTAAAAGAAAGTCTTTAAAGTGCCTAATTTTACTTTGTGTTATGGAAAAAAAAATGCTTTTTTGTCTACCAAATGCAAAATACATAGATGTTAGTGGGAAATGTTCCTTTGAGGTTCCAATGAAGACAAACATGCTGGCTGTGTGATCCAGGAAGACCCAGCTGGATGAATGGGGCACTGAATTCAGTTGATTTTCTTGGCTTAAGTATTTCAGGGCTCCGTTTTGGGGTTTGGCTCAGTTTTGGGGTTGCAGCCTCTCAGCAGTGCCATCTTTAAGGCAGGTGGTTTCTGGAGTAGCTGAGGAAGAGAGGCATTGGGACTCAGCTTAGCAAAGCTAAACTTTAATAACTTGAAGAAGGGAGTACAGATGTTTTGGGCCAAATATTTAACAGCCCTGGATCTCCTGTTTTTGGGCTGTGTGCAGAGGGAAATCGATTGGAGAGTAAAACGTGAACCTGGGGGAGGGTTGACGAGTAAGTAATTAAACACTGGTATTTATGCCTGCAGTGCACTTTGCAGCTGGGAGAGCACAGCACAGATGAATATTGATCTCATGAAATATTTTAACCACTTCCTCAGAAAATGATAGAGTTTGGTGCTGATCCCAGCATGGAGTCAGCACTGGGGGTGGGATAAAGCCCTACAAGCAGTCCTGTAGGAGCTGCCTCACTGCAGCCCTGCTTGTCCCCTGCAAGGCTGTCTTGGTTTGGCTGCAGAGAGAGGAGGAACTGCTGGCTCCCAGCTCCTCAGGGATGTGTGTGGATGACTGTGGAGGTCCAGCGTGCTGGATTTGGCATAATAGACCTGGAAGGAAGGTAAATGCTTAGTTGGGGTGAGCTGAACAAGATGAAACGAGGGAGTGATTAAAGAAATGGGAGTTTATACTTTGAATCTAATTGTTAGGGTGTAGCTTTTTGGAACTTTCTCCTACATCTGAAAAGATGGGAGTTTCCTTCTCGTTTAGTCAAACATTTCCTGAATGGGTGCCTGAAGTGAGGCTGGTCTTTTGTGGCTTTTTTTATCCCTTCAGCAGTGACTCACCTGGCTTACTATCAGCAATAAACTTTGAGCCACAGGTGGAAAATGTGCAAAGCCAGCAATCCAGCTGCTATTCTACTTTCCGTGTGTGGTGCTGACAAAAATACAGTGCTTGGCCCAGTTTCAGGTGAGAGGAGATGTTTATTTCACTTCCCACAGTCTGCAAAATGCCTTTTGAGACTTTGCAGTCTATCTGAAGTGAACGTAAGGCTTCTTGAAAAGAAATCACTGCATCAATGCCAAAGCATGACAAGTATTTCTTTTGTCAGTTTTGGTTGTTCTACCTCAAATTTCCCTCTTTTTTTTTTTCCCCCCCTACTTGCTTTGCTGGGGAGATTAACCCCTAGAGAAAGCTGGTTTTTCTATGGGGCTTGGGAATGCAAGAAAGATCAGTCAGATCTCATTTGGCACATTGGTTGAGTTTTCCTGTGAGCAGGTTGCAGAGGGAAGTCCCATCTCATGAGGTGTGTTTGTCCGTGTGAAGGAGAAGTGACTGAAAGAGCCAGGGGCTCAGTTTTCCAGTAATGTCTGAGGTAACTCCAAGCCTCATACACAGAGCAAAGCCTCAGGCTCCCTGGGGCAGGGAGCAGAAGGGAGTCTGTGGTACTCAGGTTGTGCTTTTTTCCCAAAGGAAGGAGGTGATTGTGCCGAGTCCAGTGAGTGACTCTCAGCAGTCACTGGTGGTGAGCAGGAAATACAGCCAGAGGTGGACCCATCGTGCAGCAGGGAAGTTTAGATATACATTCAGATTCCATGGCTAGGTTGTATTTGTACCATTCCAGACCAAACAGAGGAGGAGTTCTGGGGATTTGAGCTGGAACAGAGAACTTTGGAAAGCAGTCATGGTGAAAAGATCAATGAGAATCTCATGGTGCACAGTGGCAATTCCTAGCAAATGTTTCATTTTGCTTTTGGGCTGCAGGTTCAGAAGCAAAGTCTGAGGGAGTGCAGAGCACTGGGGGGTGGTGCTTCGTGGAGAAACTCATTGACTGGGATGCACGTCAGGAAAATAACTGTGAAGCAAAGAATCAGATTTGGATATTAATCCCTCCTGAAAAAAATCAAACATCCAGCCTTGAAGATGAACACAGGATTGAGAAAAGGCTCAGGCTGAACACGGGGGATACTGGGACAAGTTCCTGGAAGCGCTGGGGGATCCTGGCAGAGGAGCGTTGTCGGGAGGGCAGCGGAAGGGGAGAGCCTGGTGGGTGGGGGTACCCGGTGTGAGGGGTGGGGGTACCCAGTGTGATGAGTTGGGGGTACCCGGTGTGACGGGTGGGGGTACCCGGTGTGAGGGGTGGGGGTACCCAGTGTGGTGAGTTGGGGGTACCCGGTGTGACGGGTGGGGGTACCCGGTGTGACTGTGGGGGTACCCGGTG